GGTTGAGTAATTCCAGAGAAGGTTAGATGGAGGGTTTTCTTAGAAATAGACCGGAGGCCAAGAAAGGTTAGAGGATAGAACTATACCAAGGCATTTGATGCATTTGACTTAGTTTGTATTTCACTGCCCTCTAAGCTACAAGCATTTTGTGAACTAATGACTTCATTGTTATCACGTCTATTGCTGAAGGCAAAATTAACTGTCGCACATGTGGAGGGATTAATGACAGTTTAAAGTGCATATTATTGATACGTTGATGAATTTCTTTTTTCGTTTTTAATTCTTTACTGAAAGATTAAACATTTTTCTAATTTGTATGTTAAAAAGTTGAGTGAGTGAATTTGACGACAGTGTGCACAGCATGCATACATGTGTAGATTTTATTGATTTGTAGACAGATTGTTATCCAACCAACCACCCACCAATAACCCACCACCAACATAAAGAAAACAGCCTAATTCACTCAATTTGATTTATGGTCTGTAATTTGATCCGTTTGAAGCATAGATTCCAAAAAATGTAAATGTTCTATATTTGTAATACTGGTAACTGAGGATTTGATCACAAAACTACTCATCTATAAGTGATACAGTATTATATAAGTATAAAACTTAGGCACTGTGGTAGAGCATAACTCCATTATGGATAAGATTTTATTTTGATAAATCACACAGTGTTGTACAGTAATATTTACTGATGACGTTTCCAGCACAAACTATTGCCATTCGTAATCATATCTAGTCACTCACACAACTTTTTTCCTTCATTTATATACATGAGTGGAATTGACGATAAGACATTTGAATAAAAATCAATATGGGATAATGTACATTCAGAAATAATAATACGAGTGTTATTGATCAATTACAATCAGATGGGAAATAAGACGAGTGTTTTTTATAGTCATAATAAGTTACTTGTTAGAATGTTGTGATGTGCTTGAATTGAAATAGAATTTTGAGATTATTTATTATCCTCTTCTGATTTGACTGGCGGTAATAATATCTTCCATATTTCTGGTACTTGCATTGAGTCATTTCAGTTGCATGTGTTGGGTGTAGACTCGATGAACCAGGATTCAGTAATCAATCTCTCTCCACCTACATAGATTACTTCTTAGAATCTTAACCCTCTCCCACCCACTCTATTGTGTGTTTGTTTGTAAATGCGTGAAATGCAACAGCTGAGCTTTTCTCTAAATTAATAATCTTCTCAGGGTCAACCATTCTTCCCTTAGCTAAATTCTTATGTTCTGACAGTCTGACTACCCACGATCTACTAGTTTGACCTATATAGTTGACTTAATAGTTAGCATGTTATTCTAGTGTAATAATCGATTTAAGAGGGGATTTATATATACATATATATATATATATATATATATGCAGACCATGGAACTGCCTTTTATACCACTTGGATATGATTATTATTTATTTCTATTCCCTTGGGTTTCGAATGGAACATAGGGCTTCAACACTACATCCCCGTTACGTTCTTTTCTCACGCAGTCCTTTTCATCTGACCTCACGGTTGCCCATAAGCTTTTATTTCCACCTAAAACGATTTCCTTCATGTCACAGTTGAACATCCTTCTCGTCGTTTCCCACTTTAATTCCAATCAAGAGCATGCTCGATGCGCAGTGTAACTCAACTGTCCCAACAAAGTGTGTCTGGTGTATCTCCATTTTCTTCTAATTGTTTGTTGAGCCATAGATTCTTGATTGGCTGGCCTGGCTGTCCATCTGATGTGTAGTATGAAGCCTGCGAAGGCAGTTGTTGACCAGGTTCTGCGACTGGCTTTTGGAAGTGGTTTTCGTGATGCCTTAGCCAAGTTTCTGACCCATATAGGAGAACTGAGTGACTTCAGTGTCATTTATGTTGATTGCAAAAGATTTCCATACTAATTTCAGTAAGATGGAAGTGTGCCTCGACTTTTCAATTGTGGTTTTGACAGCCTCATCCATGGATTCGGTTGTAGTTGAATCTACGCTACCTCTGCCAGATAAATACAAGAACTGACTTCCTTCGCTTTTCTTCTGCTCACACTGATTGGTGCTGGTTTCTGTTGTTTTTGCTGTTGCTTAGTTATTTTTATCTCCTCTGTCTTATTTACGTTCAGATGAAGTACTGTCTTCGTTAGCTGCGTCCTCTGTCAACTTGTCGGTTTTTGCCTGCGCGTCTTCGAATTATACATAAATCATCCGTGAAGTCCAGATTTCTGTAACGGTGATTCAGTTGTAAAAGACTCTCCTACCACGCACATAGTTCAGTGTTCGATTCCCGACTGATACAATTCTAAACCTCACTGAGCAGGTAGTAAGCCCCCTAAAAGAGTAGGATTGAACGTGGAACTAGCAACCACAGTTCGTATTAAGTGATAACGTTTCAAGCACAATTTATTGCTCATAATCATATTAAAGTGATGAGCAATAAATGATGCTTTAAACATTATCAGTAAATAATACTGTAAAACACTGTGTGCACTTGTCAGATAACAATAACAATACAATAATGAAAGCTTTATTCTGAGAATTGCATTTATACACAATAAAGATTTTTCAAATAATATAATATTCGATAATATATCATCTGAAGCAACATTTTGTTTCATCCGTAGCTCGCTCCAGCACTACCTCACAATTTTCTTCCTCCATTTCCATTACAGAGATTCCTATCGGTAGGTAGAAACCCATCTGAAATAGTAGGCGAGTTTGAATTGTGACTCCATTGTAGTAATTAGATAATTAAAACAATTTGAATCAGAGCAAACACAATGTATTTTGATAGATAGATAGATAGATAGATGGATAGACAATTTAGGTGGCCTAGTAATTTAAACAGGCCACCTATGATGGTAGTATACTCTACGACACAGGTGAAATTCTGTTAGAAAGGTGAAACTTTTGACTGGATACTAGTTAGTGTAACACTAGTGTAATATGTCTAGTCCTTTGTTCGATGCAAACTGAATTCTATCAGTCAGGTTTGCAATGTGGTCACCATTCTAGTTGGCTTGCCATCACCGTTGGCTCTTTGAATAGCTCAGTGGTAACGTCTCTGACTGCAGCACTCACTGGGTTACGTGTGTTCGAATCTCAGAAGGAACACAAGTTCCTTCACGGTTTCAGAAATGCAACATATTAGAAGAAATATAGTAATATCACTTAATAACGATAAGACAAATAGTAAAATAAAGATATAGATATATATTAAGAAACATATACAGAGTCAATTAATTTCGCTGATGATAAATAGCAATATTACTATTATTAGTAGTAATAACAACAATTTCACTTTCATTAAAAATATCACCATATTTCACGTCAATGTAGGTTAAGAAGATAGATGATTATAATAATACTAACAATTACTAGAAACAGTAGTAGTGGTAATAAGGCGGCGTATACTACTGAAAAGATTTATCAGTAGTATTGTATAAAGAGACGTTCATCGCTGCCACAAAAATATCAAATAGCAGAAAGAGAGGGAATTCACGTTAAAAAGAGGAAATGATGAGCTAGTGTATTGAGGCAAGGGCCTTGATATGATTATGAGCAGTAATTTGTGCTCAAAACGTCATCAGTAAATATTACTGTGTAACACTGTGTGATTTTCAATTAGTAGTGTATGAACTGTAACAGACATTACATTGGCCAAAGTGGCCGTCCCCTTCGAATCAGAATCCAGGAACACGAATCAGCTCTGAAAAGACATGATATATATTCCTGTTTCATATCAATGCATATAGATAATTATGGACATCAGTTTAATTGGGATAATGTCGAAATTTTAGACAGAGGAAACACCAGAAGTGCTAGGGAATTCCTAGAAGCCTGGTACTCAAACGAATATGCGATTAACAAACATGTTAATATAGACCGAATATACCAACTAATAAAAAGTAAATCATGTGACGAGAAAGTTTAAAATCCAAGTTAATAAAAAGTGACCAATACATATATAAAGATGGTTACCGGGAGACGCAATTCTATCACTCATGGGAAATTTAAATCAGTTCACTTTATGCTAGAAATTGCCCTGAAGGTGTTGTCCAGAAGGACGACGAAAGCTCAGAGAGCATTACTAATTGCGAATCATTCACCTGAGCTACAAATCTTCTCTACTGTGTGATTTTATCAAAATAAAATTGTTATCCATAATGGATTCCGTTACCAAGTCTGTTGTCTTCTCCTGTTACAGTAGCAGGACTCAGTACTGTGGAAAATAATATAATATTTAGTAATACGTCATATAGACTATAACATGTGTTCTATTGAGCGTTTAGATTGGAACATATGGTGTAAATTTTTCGAAGTTTCAGAAGGTGTGGTGTATTGGGTGGAATTGTTAGCTCGAAGTTTACCCCTACCTCTTTGCTTGCTTACTGCAGGCTAGGCATGCTTTAGGGGCATGTCAGCTGGGAGTCGAACCTGTGACCATTTTCGTAGCTGGTTAGAACACAGAAATATTAGCTAACATAATTATATTTTAGGGTGGCTTTTTCAAGGATAGACATCAGTTAGAGAACCGTTATAAAACAGGAGAAAGCTAAGCAGCTCTTTCAGTGTCGGTGGCACAGTGGTTTGGACGCACATGGTTCGGGGTTCGATCTCCGGCCGAAGCACACCTGATATCAGCGGTCATCCTGCAAAATTTGGGCTACTGATGTCACATGCTGAAAATTCCATACTTGTACCAAAAATACTGTGTGGAGTCAAGCTATAATAATAATAATAATAATAATCATGATTATGGCTTCTTCGGCGGCATATACCATGTTGGAATCACAGGTTGAGGACAAAATCAATAGAATTCGTAAATAACTAGCGTCAAATAACTTCTTGCTTCTCTCCACTCTTCCTTGGTTTTCTGAGGTTATATATATGATTTTATTCCTTAGTGAAATACACCATGATGTTTAGTGATCACATCTTTAGACATTATAGTTATGTAAATGAAAAAATGTAATGCAACATTCTTAAACTTCTTCTAAACTTTAGGCTAATCTAATCGGAAGTCGTCAATTATGGCGTCAAATGCTTATTAGTGAAAGATTTGCTGATGTCTGGTTTATTGTTGGCGGTGAAGACATCCTCAGTAGTACTGGACCGCTTAGTTTACATTCAAATGATCCCGGTGCACCTGGTGGTCCAACAAGTCAAATCAGTTGTTGTTCAAATAAACAAATGTTAAATGTTTCAACAAGATCATCAAATTATTCATCAAATGGAGTAAATAAGTCAAGGATAATGTATAGTAAAAGTAATACTAATACTACTACTAATAATAACAATACTGTTAATAATAATAATAATAACAATAATAGTAACAATAATAATAATGGCAATAACAATAGTCATGTTCAAAATGACTACTTCGATGCGATGCATTCACGGTGTTCTGATTCAGATCAAGAGAATACAATAGACGATGCAACGGATTTAAATTCAGACAGTGAGCAGATCTCATGTCAATCAGATCTTAGTAAAGAAAGGATACCCAGAAGTGTTACAAACAAAATGAATGAGTCAACTTCTCAAATCATTCGTAATAAAGATATAAAGCCTAATTACAAGACTCCATCATCTTCCCAATATTCAAATCGACTGAACAGTACAAATGGATGTAGTAAAACAGATGTGTGCAGAAGTATTCCAACAACGGGATCACTGAAGTTGACAGATGATACAGATCCATTAATATGGCGATTTGCTGCACATCGTTTAATACTTGCCGCTGCATCACCAGTTTTTGAAGCAATGTTCTATGGACCAATGGCTGATTGTGATAATAAAGGTTCAGAAGGTCGACGAGAATATCATATCCCTGATATACATCCAAAGGTAAGTGAAACTTTTTCAGCATAATTTTTAAAATGTTGTCGTTTGAACACCATTTCATAACTTGCTCCAGTGTACTAGCTTGCCCAGTAAACTGTGTAATCATTCCACTAACCTACCGTACATAAATCAGTAAGAAAATGGTAACCGTTATCTATCGACGAGGTTTTCCATGGAGTTACCAATGTGCTAAGTTACACGACACTGTTGAGCAGTATAAACTGTTGTCATATATAAGGGGCTAGTTAGTAGGAGTTCCAGTCTCCCTAACGTTGCTTGTTGTTCCCTAATCAGACACATTTACACCCTTGAGGAGACTTATTCACTGCACATTGGCTTAAGAACTTTTCTTTTAGTCAATAGGTTTCAGATTCGAGTCCAAATGGGCGGTGGAATTAGCCGTTGTACATTAAGTGTGGCCTATATACTTTTGCAGCTAATTGAGTTCAAACAGTGACTACTTTCATATCTCTCACTAGTAATTCACACTTGTAACTCTTACGAGAGAAAGTCACGTGTTTCATAGACACTCCCACTAATCTGTTCGGCAGTAATTTCTTTGACTTCTCAAATGAGAGATTCAATTTTTAATGTCAGAAAGAAAAATTCATCTGCCTAAATGAAAATTACCTGAATCAAAGCCTTTTACTCAATTTGTTTAAGTTATTTTTATACGTTTTTGTTATCATTATTATTGTTTCCTTTAATTCCTAGAGGAATATAGGGTTTCAGCCGTGCGTCTCCATTGCGTTCGGTTCTCTGCTAGAGTCTTCACCTGGCTCCAAGTCTGCACACACGTTTTCATCTCCTCTTCACATGACCTTCTCCAAGTCACCCTTGCACTGACGACCAACTGACTCGCCGTTTCCCTTTCGGGTTCCACTCGAGTGATGGCCTGTCGTGTGATGTCACTTGATGGTTTCCTCAGAGTATGGCCAATCAATCCATCTCCATTTCTTCCTGCCTATTTGTTTCACAATCGGTTCCTGCTCAGTTGGTTCGCTCATTGCCAGAGATCTCTGTTGCTGATCTTTTCTGGCCAGCTTATCTTGAGTGGTATTGAGCGAAGACATCTGTTAATGAAGGTCTGTAGTTTGTTTGAGATGCTCTTTATGACGTGCCAAGTCTCCGATTCGTATAGTGAGTAGCACTGACTTCACAATGGAGTTGGAAATTCGGATCTTATTTTTGATGCTGAGTGCTGTTGACCTCCACACAGACTTGAGAGTAATGAAAGCTTGTCTTGCTTTTCCGATCCTCGCTTTGGTGTCCTCATCAGATCCTTCCGCCTGTAGTTGAAACGATGCTTCCCAGGTGGGTAAAAGAGGTTGTTTCTTTCAGATTCCCCCCATTTATGCTGATTGTTGTCTGTTGTTGTTGTTTCTGTTGGTGGTGTTGCCAAGGAATCTTCATCACCTCTGTTTTCTCTATGTTCACCTGAAGTCCTATCTTCACTGGATGCTTCTTCTGCCAACTTGTTGCTTTTCGCTTGCATATCTTCCAGTTTGTGGGAAATCAGACATATGTCGTCGGCGAAGTCCAGATCCTCCAAGTTTTGTGTGTGAGTCCATTTTATGCCTGTTTCCTCATTGCCCACTGTTTGTCGCATTATCCAATCTACTGCAATCAGGAAAATCATTGGCGATAGTAGGCAGCCTTGTCTTATTCCTGTCCTCACTTCGAAGGATTCCGTAAGTTTCCCGTTGTGGATTACTTGGCATGCAGCATTGTTGTACTGCTGTTGGATGAGATGTATAATTGTCGGTGGGACCCCACAGTAGCGAAGTAGTTGCAAAAGCACCTCTCGTTTTTTCGAATGATGTTTATTATACCTAAACTCTTCGCTTCTACTGACATATCAGCGTCAAGTATGTTTGATTCAGTGACGTCTTATGACTAGCATGAGGTTATCTAATTGATGATAACTAACAGCGGAATCCAGAAAGCGCATTTCGTTGAAAGTTGAATATGCTTACATCCCCAGTAAGTGATAATTTTCTCAGAGAGACTCAAACCCCCTGTAAAATAGTGGATCATAGCTTATTGACTTTTAAGTGGTTAAACACCAATCAACAGATATTTGCTTTTTACGTTAACATGGAATTATACGGATGAGGATATTCACTAAAAATTGCCGTTTTTTTGAGCAGTTCAGATTTTCCGAATTCCGTCAACTGTTTATACCATTAAACTCAATTCTAAATGAATGAAGTCGTTTTTTATGCAATCCAACTTACTTTAATACGCCTAGTGGAATCAACAGATTGAGAGATGAGTCCTAGTAGGCTTCAAGTCTATAATAAAATCCTTCTTATTTAATGTTAAGTGGAGGCCTAGTGTTTTTTGAGTAAGTCATTAGACGGTTCTGAAAAGATATACAGTGGCAGAGAAGTACAATAATTGAATATTCGATCCGAAAAACCAACTTCTAGATGTAGATAGTCCAAATGAGATTATTGAACTTCTAGGTGATGTATTTGCAAGCAGAGTTTTGTACAAGGAAGAACTTAACTGGAGCAATAAGTCCGCCAAAATATTACATAAGATAAGAGTGCTAATATGACGTCACTTTTAACCAGGAATAAAACAGCCGAAATAAATCTAACCAATTCAATCTCTCTTTATAAATAAACGTTTGACAGTCCCTTGATAACTTCGTTGCCACTGTTTGAACATGAATTGAATGATTGCTTGAATCCCGCATTCCAAATAACGTCTGATATGGTCAGGTGAATTTCCAAAAATTAAAAAGTAGCGCGAAGCAAAAATGGTGACTCATTTTATTTAAACAAAATTAACAATTACATCAAAGTAACGTAAGAATACTTTGCATTTTCCACGAATTATAAATTGCAGTTTTAGGCTGGCTTTTAGCAACAAAGCATAAAATTAACATAATATTAAGAGTATTTACAAAAAAGAAACAACAACAACATTGGACATTGAATAATGACATTGTTAAAACAATAAAAAACAACAACAAAAAACACAATCTGAATCCAGCATAAGAATGAAAATCTGAAAACGCATATTTTTGTTTGTTATTTAATTGTCTTTTGTCTAGCCATTGTTTCTCTAATTCAGAATTGTTCAATTATTCAACAAAAGAATGTATTTGTTTAAAAACTGTGTATATAAAATATTTTCATGATCATCTTTAATTTATGCTAATCAGAATGATCTATTCTTGACTGAACTGGATTTCACAGTATGTGATTTCGCTGTGCTACTTACTTACATATTGAACAGCTTTCACTGCTGGCATGTTTATCAGCGTTTCAGAAATGATTAGATAGTCAAGTGTTGATTTCCAGGGATTGATTGGTTATAGTTGATATCAGTTAGAGAACCATTGGAAAACCACCATGGAGTACTGGACAGCTGTTTCGTCCTGGTTTGAGACTCTTCATCACTATTCATCCACCGGAGTATGAACTTAGGACTTTCAGGGTTACAGGCCGAGCTCGTAGAACATTCAGCAACTGGAGCCCTGTCGAATGACTGGATCATGAATTCCAACTTCTGTCAATTCGTAATATATAAAGCACAGCTGCTAGACAATCTCATAAGCTTGTAACTGTCCTCTTACCCACGAACTTTCCTGGTAACCGGGGGGGGGGTTGAGTTCGAACCCCAGCGGATGTATGCTGCTGCAGAGTCCCAAACCAGGACGAGGCAGCTGTCTAGTACTCCCTTGTGGTTTTCCAATGGTTCTTCATTTGATGTCAACCTGTAATTACGAGATTACTGAAAACGCTTTATTTAATTATGTAATTTACTTCTTTTGACTAAAGTGTGATTGATGAAACTGTCAGTTTGTAATTATCACTATGCCTGTTAGTTCATATTCATAGAATTGAAAGGGTAGTGTTCAGAGTACAGAGATACACTTTAAGTGTAAGAGCTGAAGATGCGTAGAAAATAGAAAATCCGTTACTCTTTAACCTTGATTATTTTTCCAGTTACTTATAATTTTTGACATAAACTTTGATACTGGGAATTAACCAGTTCCAAATGTCTGTTGGGATTTGAATAGCTTAGTTCTGCGACATAGGGTGGCGCGAGCTCAAATTTCAGAGAGGATATCAGTTTCTTGGTGGTTACAATTTCGCCTCGGTAATAAGAGGTTGTAAATATGAAATATAAGTTCATCCAACCTCTCTAACTAACTAAACTTAATACAACAGTTATCTTACTGAACATTTTGTGAACTGTAAGATGGTACCATCATTGTTTATTTCGTTGGTTTCTCATCAGCTCACCTGCTTACAGCCTAAGGACATTATTAAGTTTATGTATAGAACAATTTTAACACACTTGCAAATGCTACATGATGACAGTTGAAATAAGACCTCAGTCTTAATGAACAGGGCTCAGAAAATTACTCCTACCTAGTTTTTACCCGGAGGGTTCAAGTTTAAACAAAAATCAATATATGCAGACAATTGTGAATGAATTACAATTAGGAATTAAAATGCCATAATAAACAGGAGGACGGATAAAGCTCAAACAAAATAGCATCATAATTACTTGAGAAGATTGACAATTAGAAATGTAGTTAGAAATGTAGAAATAACAAAAATAGACAAGACGTTTGGATAAAAAATCTAGTGGGATCATAATTGATGTGATGAATAATTGTTTATGCAGTTAGGGATTAAATATGTAGAAATAATAAAATGACAAAATAGACAGGAAGTTCGGATATGAAAATATGGTAGTGTAAATAGGGATTAAGAACAACTTGAAAATAACATGAATAAGCAGGAAGTTTGGATAAGAAAGGCAATGGGATAGACACTATTAAAAGAATTACCTGTTTATGAGGGCCATGGCAGGGACAATAGTTAGACGTATTTCTTTTGGATACATAGAGTGGGTTTGAGATTTTGGATGGTTAGTGCCTCGGCTGTACCCAAATATCTTGATTTTAATCCCTTCGATAGGTTTGATCGAATCTTGTACATGACTTTGAAGGATTTTTCGAAAGGCGCTGAATGTCCTGAATTGACCAGATGTTCTGTCACTTAACTATATATCCGTTTTCGTTCTCCTTTTTACTAGCCAGGCTGGGTAGTGTTCACGAGCGCGTTTTTCAAGTTGGCGCTTGGTATGGCCGCATTTCTAACCCCTAATTGCACAATATGTCAATCTTCTCAGTAATTATGATGCTACTTTGTTTGAGCTTTATCCGTCTTCCTGTTTATTATGGCATTTTAATTCCTAATTGTAATTTTATTAATCTGACCCTTGACGGCAGATTATTCTGGAACTTTCCTACCCATTTATTATAAATACACGAATGTACAGCCTATTTGATGATTTCGTCGAAAAGAAAATTTTCTTAGCTGCAACTGTCTTTTATTATTCCTTATGATTAAATGTGTATATTCTGTGATGCGAATGAATTATGTAATAAAGACAAGATGAGATTAATATGATGCGTAATTAACAAACTGAATAACGATGTGTTGAGTTCAACTCAAATCACAGAAACAAAAGACAGGCAAATTTACTCTATATCTGACAGGGAGGTGAGGTTTAAGCCAAAGATTGCGTAATCACATGAAAGAAGGAATAAAGACATCCAGTTACCAGGACACGGAAGGACTGATAACAACTTCTTCTTGAAACCCAATTCAGTCTTTCTTAGCCCTGGTAACTGGATGTCTTTATTCTATCTTTTATTTGATTACGTAAAGCTGAAGCGGACACTCGCTGGGGAGGCTGCTGGGTGACATCGCGCGTCAGGCCCTCGAGTGGAACCCGTCGAAAGGGAAACGGCGAGTGGGACGTCCAAGGGTGACATGGAGGAAATCGTGTGAAGAAGAGTTGAAACAGTATGGATTAACTTAGATGCTGGTGAAAAGTACAGTGGAAGACAGAAACAAGTGGGGACTTGCAGGTGAAGCCCTATATTCCACTAGGAATCCAAGGGAACAATAATAATAATAATTATTAAAATCATTGCCATTGTATGCATACATTGATTTTTTGCTTTAAATTGAACTCTCTGATTAAGTATGTTAAAATTCCATACAAGAATTCCCTTTGTATAAATTTGAGCAAAGAAAGAACAAACATTGGTGCTAAATAACATGGATCCATTTTATTTCTTTGGTTCTCATCAGCTGCATGTAATCGATAGTCTTTAATAAATAAAAGTCACCGTAAAATTTAACATACTTTTATCATCAACATGTATATTATAAGAGTATCATGGTGAGGCAAAACAGCAGGACGATAAGGTAGCTAAAGTGTAAGTATATGCATATATATGTATGTGTATCTTGTTAGAGAAGTTTCTCGAAAATGAATTGACAAATTTGTTGTTAGGATGGTAACAAAAAAATGAGTAAAAATCATACAGTTAGGTAAGAGAAGGTCAAATTTTAGTGTGCAAGAGGTCAGATTATTTTTATATATATTTTTTAAATATTTTTGATTACAGCTTGATACCACACCGTATTTTCATTACAAGTATGGAATTTTCAGCATGGATATCGGTAGCCCAAATTTCGCAGGCCCACCCTAGATATTGGGTATGCGTCGGTAGGGGATCGAATCCCGGACCATGTGCATGGTCGGCGACAGTCCTAACCACTCTGCCACCGACGCACCGACAATGAAAGGGTGATAATGGAATATAGTGAGCGGAACTCATAAGGTCAAGAAAAATAATGTCTTATGGAAGTCAAACAGAAGAAACGAGGCGACGAGGTGGGGGTTAGCGTTGAAAAGATAAGTTAATGAAGTTAGAAGACCAAGAGTTTTTTAGGGTAACTGCAGTTCAGCGACAGATTCCGTTTTATTGTGATAGCCTCAGCAATCCGAAGAAAACTTGAGCTGTTGAAATTGTTTCTGTACATAAACTTAATTGTATTATCTTTAAGCTGTAAGCAGCTGATGAGAAGCCAACGCAATAAACAATGATGATACCATCTTTGTTCTTACGTCATTCAAATTCATAAAAGGGAATAAATGTATGAAATTATTTTGTTAAATTAAATATTACATTTTCTTTTTCTTTCTTTTCGTTTTATCTTTAGGCATTTCAAATTATGTTATCGTATATTTATAGTGATGAATTATTACTTGAAAATGATTTGAATCTACTATTCTATGTGTTATATGCTACAAAAAAGTACATACTTCCACGTTTAACACAAATCTGTGTGGAACATCTAAAGGTGAGCAAGTTTCCTCATTTTCCTGTTGTGTCATTGTTTATTCAAGTGTTGCATTATTCATTCATTTACTGATATTCTCATTTCAGGTAACTGTTGCTTCAATGATATACCATAGTTGAATAAAAGTACTTATTATTTAGGTCAATAATGAATACTCTCCGTTTTACATTTGTCTTTCCTTATCTTTCTTATAAATATACATTTACCCATGATAAGAATATTCAAAATACGATGGGAATGTTCTGCTTTAAAACATCTCAATCAACTACTCATAAAAAGAAAATCAATAATAATAATAAAGAATGTAGTTAGTACTTTCTACTTTTACATTTATGCTCAATAATTTATCGTGGTAAACTCTATCTTAAGTATTACTACTTGTATTATCTCCAAATTATTTTCTAAACTTATAACTCATTAACTGGTTAATTATGTATTGGTTTTCAGGCGAAGAAAACACATTCATCCCAGACTTCTGTAAGACCAGAACGAAAAAAAATCATTCTATGTAGTATGATTTGATTGTATTGTCTGAGTTGGTTGATTTAAGTGAAAAAGGTTTCGGTGTCCTTCTTCTAGACAACATTATTATTATATTATTGTTTCCTTTAGTTCCTAGAGGAATATAGGACTTCAGCCGAACGTCTCGTTTGCGTCGCTTCTCTGCCAACGTTTTCACCTGACTGCACGTTTGCCCACATGGTTTCATCTCCTCTTCACATGATCTCCTCCATGTCACCCTTGGACGACCAACTCACCACTTCCCATTTGGGTTCCATTCGAGAGATGGCCTGGTGTGTGATGTCACTTGATGGTTTTCTCAGAGTATGGTCAATCCACCTCCATTTCTTCCTACATATTTCATGGACAACTGGTTCCTGGTTGGTTCGCTCATCGCCAGAGATCCCTGTTGCTGATCTATTCTGGCCATCTGATCTTGAGTATTGAGCGAAGACAGCTATTAATGAAGGTCTGTAGTGTGTTTGAGATGCTCTTTATGACGCGCAGTGCAAGTCTCTGATCCGTATGGTGAGTAGCACTGACTTCACATTGGAGTTGAAAATCCGGATCTTATTTTTCATACTGAGTGCTGTTGACCTCTATACAGACTTGGATCCTCCATGAATGAATGATATAACTGCATCTTCTGGCAACTATTGTCACGACTGGTTGTCACTTTACATCTTCATTAATTGTTTTCTAGATGTATAACGAAAGCTTCTCAGTTGGATAAACCAACTCAGATAATACAGTCAAATTAAAAATCATCCACCTGAGCTATAAATCTCCTTTATTATTCGAGTATGATGTTGTCGCAAAACCATTTGGCTGACCTGCCTCTTCCTCTGGTGGACTAATATGATTATCTCGATAAACTGAATACTTAGTCAGGAAGGCTTCGTGTGCTTTTGAAAGTGTATGGGTGGTCGTTACTTCCTGTCTGCCTACACTGTGGAAGTTGATTTTTCTTGGAGTACTTGAAACAGAAAGATAATTAGTGTTGTGTGACCGCAAAGGCCACAAGACAAATGCTTGAGGCCTGTTCGAACGGACTTCTCGGTTTGGTTCCGTACTAGTAACTTACAGCCAGCCAGGGACCATCGTAGGGTAAGTCTGGATGTACGATTTTCGGGGTCGACCTTTCTGAACCACCCTCTCTCCAGAGTGTAGAGTTAGCATAGCTGGTATGGTGTGTCATCTGAAGGGAACACCCTGCTGCTGCTAAATCCCTGTTCCATCGCAGTACAACTTTGCCCACAGACCCCCAGCATAGTGTAGAAAATCTCACACTATGCCGGTAACTGCTTTTAGTCCAATCGCTATCCTAACAATCTTCCTGGCATAGTAGGACCTACAGGAACATTACTTCTAGATGGTGTAGCTTGTTGGGTCATTGCGATATGGAAGGCCAACCACCACGTCAAGGTAGCAGCTACCGGTTGGTGCTACTGACAGTGGAAGACAGGAAAAGGTTAGCTGTCTTTGGTTATGGGTGTCCATGTTCTATCTCCTTTGCGACGTTGTAGTTGTAACAGGATGAGCAAAATTGAGGTTAGGCTTTGGTTGCGTGCTACGTAAGGAGGTAAAATCAACCAACGAGGTTGTAAAATAAAATCGACTAAGTGAGATGGTTAGGATATGTGTCATGCATGCCTCATTGTCGCCTTCGTCAACGGTCAATGTTAGCTTACATAGGATGGATCAAGTTGGAAAAGAGACAGTGGTGGTCAAACGAAAACATGCCTTCGTCAGTCAATGAAATCCATAAGTTATTTTAAGCCAACCAGTTACGTAGGGAGGTGTAGACTGTCTGTTTACCTGGTTGGTGTCCCCGGGATGGTAAGAACCAATAATGTCTGGTGAAAATTGGTGATATAGCTGGAAATTGTTGTCAATGATGCCACAGATGCATTCACTCTTAGTGATTTGTGACATACAATAAAACTCTATTGTTCTATTATTCTATTCTCTTCTACTACTATTCTTTTTTCTTCACTGTGCGTCGGTGGCACAGTGGTTAGGACTCTCGCCGACCATGCACATGGTCCGGGGTTCGATCCCCTGCCGACACATACCTGATGTCAATGGTCGGTCTGCAAAATCTGGACTACCGATACCAAATGCTGAAAATTCCATACCTGTACCAAAAATTACGGTGTGGAATCAAGCTGTAATAAAAAAAACTTAAAATCCTCTTTATTGTCTCTCTTTTGAATTTCTGTTTACTCTGTTCTCTTCCTTTATGTGGTACATGGAGGGGGAGTGGCAAGTTGAAATGCTCCGCGTTTGTGTAGAGTTGTGTGATGAAATCAGTCAGTCAGAATACTAAGTCGACAAATGAATCAGATAATAAGGCCTACTATTCATTCTAATGTAGGAATTAATGCATAAGAGAGGAAAATGCTACAGGTTTTCAATATAATCTCGACAAGGTTTAGAAGGAGACTGACCACATCAGTGATCTCATACGTTTTTATTGTAAAGTTTGCCATCACTGTGCACTATTACAGAATCAGAATGTATGAGTCAACCTAGAGTTGTTCTTACTTGTTTTCCTTCTATAACAATAGTATGGCTAGATCATCTGGTTACCAGATTGTCAAAACTGACTATTTCACTTCCAGTTAACCGGCATCTTCTCTCCTTCTAATTTACTTTGGTTTGGACTAACAACAGAACATCTATCTGGATAACTAATGTAATGACAGATGAACAGTAAGACATAATTCATGCATACAAAAAATCTGGCTATTAACCGGGGTGACAGTTTGAAAATGATGACCTGTATAGCGACTGGGGGTCGTAGGTCGGCTAATAGAACCCTGGACTAGTTATTCAGAGGCCGCTAATTCATCCTCAGTCATCACCTCTTACAATAATAACAATCTTTCAACTCATAACTATTTCATATAATTTCAGAATCAATATTTTTAGGCGTTTGGTGTAATACTCACCCTATGCTAAGACAAATTTCACCTAACCACCATTCATTTAAACGAAATTTCAAGTATACTAACTGATCATTGAACACTGAATTCAAATAGGATTTATTGTACTTTATAATCTGAAGTTTAAATTACTTCTTTATGTTTTAATAATTTATGTTTATTATAGTTTAATTATGAAGGTTTAATGCCGCATATATAGATATTTATATTAAGTGTTTAAAAGAAAAGCCTTATTTAATTGACAATATTTCTTTGTTCAAAGGTTTCAATGTTTTCGTTTTAATGTATGCGCATTTTAATCTCTGTTGTTTTTAGAAAATACCTTTTAATCACATTATTTTTCTCCCTCTGTTGTTTTTATCCGTATACAGGATTTAATCACAGCTGAGAATGTCTGTATGATGCTGGAAAGAAGTATATTCTTTGATGAAGTCGACTTAACACGTCGCTGTTGGCATGTGATTGATGTCTTGGTATGTTTACTTTAAAAAAAATTAGTATTAAAGAATATTGCATAATGAGTTAATTATTTCAAATATTTGTGTTTAAATGCACTGTAAAAATACTAAATCGTTTGACCGCCATACAAGAATTTTAATTTTTGATTACAGCTTGACACCACACCGTATTTTCAGTACAAGTACGGTATTTCCAGCATGGATATCGGTAGCCCAAATTTCACAGGCCAACCATAGATATCGGGTGTGCGTCGGCAGGGGATCGAACCCCAGACCATGTGTATGGTCGGAGAGAGTTCTAACCACTGTTCCACCGACGCACAGTGCGTCGGATGGGGATCTAATCCTGGATCACTACCGCTGAACCACTGACGCAGATTTGAGGAATAAACACTTCCAGTTCTGTAGCCACTGACTTAAATTGCAGTTTTCAATTTTGGCTACTTCCTATCACTCCGCATCTATATACTACTGATAAACCCCGTCAGTAGCACACTAAACACTACAATACTATTTAAAAATTTCACAATATATTACACCGTTACAAAGTGATGCACAATAATCCCTGTGTCCCGACCGACAGCTGCTACCATAACGTGTCATTTGTGCTTGTATCTCGCAATGATCCGACTGGCTACATTAGCTGGAATATAAGTTCTTACAGGTCTTAATATGCAAGAAACGTAGTTTGGATAGCAATCAGAATAAAATCAGTTACTATCATACTGTAGGTCATTTATACTGTGCATAGGTTCTGAGGATGAATTCGTGCTACTGGCAAATAAAAATGTAACTACAGCAAGGTATGTCAATCAGATGTTGCCTCTCTGTTCCTTGGAATGGGAGAGAACAAAAGTCCCCCACCTCAAGCCGTATTTATCCTCACTTATTCTACAGCCATTTGTAGTTGACGTTCTGGTGTTTCGCAGAAACAATCCTAAAACCAGCTCTAAACTGGTACTGTTTGTGTGCGTGTGTGTGTGGATGGCAAGTTCAATGCAGTTGTCTCCTAGGCTCTCACGCCATGTGACACCAATACTATCTATTGCAGTTCAGTCAAAATTTGCTTATAAAGTCAAAACAAGATTTTCTTACGAGATAGGCTGTATAAACCACAGCTTTTTCAGTTAAATTACTTAAATTCTATTTTAAGAAATTAAAAAAATGTAAACATAGTTAAAAATTGCTTAAAATAGAATGAAATCAGCAAATGTGAAGGTCACCTTTTAGATGAGTATTCATCTAACTCAAGAGAAAATTCACAAAAATTCACTCTGTAATTAATTAATTCATTCTCATTAGGGTCAGATAATAGATGATAATTTCATCAGCTACTTTAATTAGATTTCTAGTTTCTGTATTATGCAATGGAATATTCATCTACTGTAACGACCAAAATCGACTGGACGTGGTGTGAATGCAGAGCACCGATCTCTGCGTCCTACTGACAAAATACTCCCTTGAGACATACACTGTCTATGGTTCTGTCCAACAATAATGATAACATCGGAAACTCAGAAGTACATCAAAAGTGACGTTAGACAGTACGAATACTTAGAATCACGTAGAATATTCCCAACAAGGTGGGATCAACACACTCTTTCAGTAAGAATCACACAACAAACAATTCCCGAAGACAGTTGAAGGTCAGAATGAGGTTCATTCACTAGAACAACATCACATCGTTTAACAACACATTTTCAATGTAACGCACAATCACCAAAACGGGAATCATTAAAATCAAAGATTGAACATTGACAAAGACAAAGAAAAAGAGTGAAGTCAACATATGATATGGAAATGTGAGTAGAATGATATACAATCTGTATGCAAAAAGGGATAACAGTTACAAAGCTAGTTGAAACATCCAAACACGTAAAAATATTGCGGTTAGACACATATATGTGTAAAACTTGAGCACTGTGGTAGCAAGTAATTCCATATTAGTTTGTTTATCAGATGTATCACACAGTGAGTGAAACAGTATTATTTACTGGATAACACAGTTTCGAACACAATTTATCATTGTTCATAATCATATCAATTATAATCACACGACTTCGAAACTTGAGTTTTATAGTTTTCTTTGTCTTCTCCTATTTGTCGTCGTTGGGGTAGTAGAATTTTTCAGCTGTCCAATTAAACAGGTGTTGAACCATTCCTATTACACGTATTCTACCTCAGTTGATTCGATAAACAAAGCTTCTGTTATCAATCTCTCCCTATACCCTGTGACATTAGATTTTAAAACTTTCATCCTGTTTCATCCTATTGTGTGGTTGTGTGTAACTGTATGCAGTGCTATAGCTGGACTATTCTCTAGATTTCTTGTCTTATTCGGGAGCCTTTAAAACAAAGCAATTTAGTTTATCTAATACCCTGCAATAACTGTCAGGTCAAATACATAGGTCAAACTAGTAGAACAGGGGTAGTCAGACTAGCCGAACATAAAAACCTAGCAAAATCTAGATTGGTTGACCCAAATAAGATAAGAAACCTAGAGAATAGTCCAGCTATAGCACTGCATACAGTTACACACAACCACACAATAGGATGAAACAGGATGAAAGTTTTAAAATCTAATGTCACAGGGTATAGGGAGAGATTGATAACAGAAGCTTTGTTTATCGAATCAACTGAGGTAGAATACGTGTAATAGGAATGGTTCAACACCTGTTTAATTGGACAGCTGAAAAATTCTACTACCCCAACGACGACAAATAGGAGAAGACAAAGAAAACTATAAAACTCAAGTTTCGAAGTCGTGTGATTATAATTGATATGATTATGAACAATGATAAATTGTGTTCGAAACTGTGTTATCCAGTAAATAATACTGTTTCACTCACTGTGTGATACATCTGATAAACAAACTAATATGGAATCGCAACTAGACGGTTGAGGAGAGGTTTTCTAAACAATAATTCCATTATGCCTACAGAACGACCTTCACACAGGTTTTGTTTCATATACTTTTTAAGCATATTAATTTTCCTTTGTAATGAAACCAGATTAGATCTCCTGAAGAAACTGAGGTTTAATTAGCAACATTTTCCGAAGACTATTATTTTGATTAATTTTTTTTTAAAAACTCTGGAACTATTTGGAATAATTTCATAACTATTCGAGGAAACTAGACACTCAGTTCGTTTCAAGAAATTCACTACATTTATAGTGTGATTATTTATTTGAGGGGTTTGCTGGTTTGTTTCTTTGTTTTTCGAAATACGTTTTTATAGATTCAGTTCACTGAACTAAGCTCACATTGGAAGTAAAAACTTATTCTCAGAATGAAATTACTACTGTAAATAAAATTTAATTATTCTGTTGACAGTTACTCCTTTTAATGATGTGCAGAGTTTACACGTGAACTAGTTTCTGAGGAATAGGAATACTTAATTCGTTCATGGAATTGTATGGACAGTTACTACTTCCAGGCTGCTTAGGCTATTGAAGCCGACTTCTTCTTGAAAAGCCTGAAACAGAAACAGCATTAGTGTTGTACGATAGTTGAGCATAGGGGCCATGATATTAGATGTTTGGAGGCAATCGGCAGGAAGCCTTCGACCTAGGTTTCGTGCTAGTTGGCATTCGTCATCACAAACTATGTACACCGTGATGGCGAGCTACTTAGAATGGTGGCCACATTACAACCTGACTGATAGAATGCAGTCTGCACCAAAGAGAGGACTAGCCGCATCAGGCTAGTTACTAGTGTCAAATCAAAATTTATGAGGCCAGTCACAAAAAGTCTGATCGAAGAAATATTTCCGTTTGAATACCTTACCGCCAGTTAGGGACAGCTGTGGCAGAGGCCAGGATATAAACTTTTCGGGGCCGACATTCTCTAACTCCCCTCCATGAACTGGCGAGGCAGCATCCCTGGGTTTCTGGTCATCAGAGAACCTTCAAGAGAACTCACTTTGGTCAGTGTAACTTGTTGGATGATTGTGATGTACATCCCTATCACGACTAATTAATATGCGGATTTCTGAAGAAGTCGGGTTTTTTCTCATTCCTGCTTTGTTACAGAAATACGTTACACGAAGTTTTATTTAGTTGAGTGATTACTTGTTCAGTTGATCTACACCGACATTCAGAGGCAAACAGTTACAATGGCTTCTAACAGGCGAGAAATCCACACCGTTTTACAGGATTTGAAGTAGTCGGTAATCCAACGTCTAAATTTGATAGTGTATGATATAAGTTTGACTGTCAGACTGTACATCAGGTCTTAATATTCAGTCCTATATTGTTAAATATTTACCGACTGAGTTCTGACATTTGCCAGCAAGGATAGTTTAACTGTTAAGAATTCATTGGACAGTCATAAATTCTTAGACTAATAATTCTGTATCGAATGAAAACTAAAGGCGAAATCACGATTACACATCCGATCTGATTAATATTTTTTCATGTGGTATGGATCGATTTTCGGAGGTAGAGCAACCGAATCTACGCTCAGCTTTTACTCTTTTTTGGGGCTCAGGACCGGCCAGAAAAACCTTGCAAACTAGTAAACTAGGCGGTAAATTACAGGCGAAAACCAAAAGGTTGATAGAAGAAGAAGAAGAAGCGAAGACAGGACTTCAGGTAACCATAACGACAAAGGAGGCAGTGAAGATAACGAATCCGGAACAACCACAAGCACCAACCACTATCAATGGAAGAAATTTGAAAGAGGTCAAATCCTTGGCTTATCTAGAAAGCATCGTTTCAACTACAGGTAACAGCATGGATGAAAATGTCAAAACCAGAATCATAGAAAGCCAGGATCGCAAAGGCAGAACACACATTCATCACTCTCATATCAATTATGAGATCATCTGCACTCAGTATAAGGAATAATATCCAGATTTTCAACACCAATGTTAAGTCAATCAGTCAGTTCTATACCGGTCAGAAATTTGATGAACGCGTCACAAAAAGCATTCCCAACAGATGGCTGCACACTATTATCAATAGCTGCCCCTTCCCCTAGCTCCATATTGAAGGTTAGATGACCGATCAGAAAG